ACCAATATGTCAGCAAAAAGAAGCAGAACTAAGAACATATCAAACAAAATGAAGGAGAGAGGTATACCAGATGCTTCTGACACTGATACGCAACTTGTGGTGGAGGTAGATGTTCATCAGGAAGATACTAGTTACATACAGGAGGACCTGGATGTTCAGGACGAAGAGCACCGTATGAATCAAGACAACGATGAAACTGCCTCGAGCCCTAGCCCTCCGCCTTCAGCTGTAGATACCTCATCAGAGAGGCCTGAAGATTCCAAAAAAAAAGAGGGAGCGGGCTTATGCATTCACCGAACAGGAAGAGGCGGCCATCGGGGAATGGTAATGTGACAATAGCTGTTTATATAACAAAAGACACAGGGACTTTAAAAATGCTGACAAAAAGCGCCGTCTTATGGAAGAGAAAGCCAATTCATTTGATCCTCCATGCACTTGTAAGTTTGAAATTTCGTTTTATAATCTTTAGAACAAAGTGTACGCTTATAATTTTTGGTAGTAGGACAGTATGTTTATAGTACAAAAATAATGTTTTATATATTTATATTATAGGTGAACATAATTGTCTGCGACTAGATATAGGCCTATGACTGATTTAAAGTTCTATACTTGTTTAAAATTTTCTTTTATTAATACTGTATAGGGCCTACTAGTTTATAAACTAGGCCTAAGTATATAGGACTGTAGACAAATTAACATGGCTATAAAAAAACAGACGGTATAAATAAAACGTTTATTCAATATTTTAGTTGGTAATGCACTCACAAGCTCTTTACATGTAGGTCTAACCGTTAAATATACGTATACATGCATCCATGAAATAACTGTAGGCCTATAATAATGTAAATATGACGCAAATTGTTTACATAATTTTGGGTTTTTTTTCAGACAAGCAGTTGAAAATGTTTTTAGACTCCATGAGGTCCCAGGTGGGCAAGATCACCAAACGAAAGTCTGGCCAAGGAACACAACTGATGTCGGACCGTGATGCATGGGTAGTTCAAACCTTCGGCTTTCTGGAAAAACACATTGTCCGGATCCCAAGCAGGCCTACTTCTAAGGTGTGCTTTAAAATGCAATGCGTAAATAACATACTGTTAATTATTTATTTTTTGCAAATGCACAAAAAATAGTGCCATTTTTTATTTTACTGACATATACGGTAGATAATACGTTTTACAATTGTGCAAAATGTTTTAATCAGTGGCGTATTTAGGGGGTTCCCCAAAAAACTTTTTGACAAAATTAATGTAAAAATAATCATCTGTAATTATTTTTCTGTGTCCACACAAAAACAAACAAATAAAATACAAAAAACAATCTGGAATTTTTATTTGGGTTTGCATGTTTAAAAAGATTAACATTTTAAAGTGTAAAATATTTTTGTATTGTCTATAAATACTTTAGCCAAAGAGCAAAAAAAGGATGAACTCTAGGTTTCATTGTCATGTAGATATGTTCGCATTTAAGTATTTTAGTCACATGCAATGTTGTATGTCTCGATTACAATAAGTTGAACTCCTCTGGCAATCTGAGCTGATTTGACAGGAATCATTTCCAAAAACCATTTCGAACTTGTGTCATGAAAACCTGAAAATAAACAAAAGTATTCATAATTAACGAGACATGCCCTCCACTGTCTTGAACAGGGGTGGCGCTAGCGGGGGGGAGCGCCAGGGAGAGCTTCCTCTCCCTCCAGTCGGGGAGAAAAGCACAATTCGTCGGGGGAAAAAATATATGTATGTATTTTCTACATATTAGTAGACTCTAAAATCGATTAAATAAGCCTTTGAAACCCATAAATTGCCAAAATTTTGAATGCTAAAATCTATAACTAACGTTGCAGTTCCCAGATATTAAGACATCAGATTCCATGGCCATACCCAGTGGTGGTGATGATGACGATGATGAGAAAGAGGAGGAGGAGGATAATCGTCAGGGAGATTCTCCTCATGCCATGGAGAAAGTTAGCACAGATTCGATCTCTGATGAAGCTGGGACCAGGGGAAAGGTCAAGAACAAGAGCAGGCCAAAATGCAAGGCTACTAAAACTAAAGAATCTGAGGTGCTCGGCAAGGTGAAAATTGCTTTGTATGTTATTATGTCGTGATACATTATTATCTAGTGACAAATTGATTTTATTGAATTGCAACTTCTTGCTGTTTATTCATACAATTCTGAAAGAAAATGAATGGACACATGCCTTTGTTTGATAACTTAATATCAGCATAGCATGGTGTATAATTAACTAAACCAAAATTGTTGTTGTTTTGCGTTGCAGTTACTGACCCGTGCCGATGAATTGGCCAAAATCCGCAATGCTCTTGCCAAAGAAATGTCTCCACACGAGCAGCAGGTTGAGACGTACATGGGGTATATGAAAACACAGATACAACTTATTCCATGTGAAAACTGGTACCAGTTTACAATAGACAACATGAGGCTGGTACAATCGTATGTGGTCAGACACTCTGCATCAACTGGCCATCATGCAGCACCTAACCAGTCCGAATTATATACTCGGAGTTCTTCTCAAGGTTACCGGATTTTTCCGTCACATCGTTACTCCCAACTCTCCACTCTCACGCCTATGTCGTCTCTGTTGAGTGTGTCTGGAGGCTCCGAACATCAGAAGCCCTACATACAATCCCCCTATCGCAGTTTCCCGACCGGCACCCAAATTGCCGTCTATCGCCAACTCCTACGTTTGGAAGTTTACCGACCCAGGGGAGGTACATATCTGTAGAAACACCGAGCTCGGGTGGATCCTTGGCTTCATATACGGCCACTATGCCCATTGACGTTGAGTCTACAGAAGACATATTCCCCACTTCAAATTTGAGCCGAGCAAATAAAATCTACACCAATTTAGAGTAAATTTTGGCAACTACATTTAGATCAAAGACCTTTTGTATACTTCAACATTAAAATATGATAAAAAGTTGTGAATGATACATATCTGTTGCTTATACCACATTCCTATTGCATGAGTTATAATTTTTGGGTAGTTATTTTATAGGATTTGAAGTCCGACATGGATATTGAGAAACATTTACAAAAAGATGGTGTTGATTACATTATACGTTGTTAAATATGTTACATTTACCATGTTTTTAAACAAATATTTTAATAATATGAGTAAATATCTTGTTGAATTTACATTTATTCGTTTAATGTAAATTTAATCACATATAATAAAGTTATATATTATATAAAGTAATATATACTTCGTTGGCATGTTTTATTTCAATGTTGAACTTGGTTATTTAGGAAAGCAAATAGTTTAACTGTGGAATTAAAATATTTATTTTTATTTATTTGTTTTATTCTTCAAAATACATACATACCTTAAATCATATTATTCTGCCAACTGATACTGCCAACAGGGTTGTTGTAATAGGAGCACAGGTAGTCACGTTGGCCCTTGGCAGCCTTTGTAGTATTGTTTCCTTTTAAGTATTCCAGGGCTGTCAGTGCTTCTTGCTTCCGCCACCGACCTGGAATTACTTCATGTGTGTCCGGGTCTTCCCCGTCCATTAAGTCGTTGGCCACGGTAGGGTAGCGGGACCTGAGTAGATTATGTAGCACGCAGCAAGCCAACACAATGCTCTCTACTGTTTTGGGGTCTTGCTCAAACGTGCCAAGAGTACAGCGGAACCTAAAGGAAAACACAGCATAAAATAACTTCCCAATGCGAAAGTAAATTAGTTAAATTTAAAAGAAATTAAATAGATAGACTGAAGAGATATTCCTAATATAGGCATACATTATGTGGACAACTGGGGCTGATGCAAAATTTGACGGTAGGGTGTGCGTGAGAATGCATACCACCTCAGCCCAAACATGGGGTGTGAACATTGTGAGAATATGGACCTCAAGGTGCCCGGAAATTGCACTCTTGTACCTTAAAAATCTTACCGGTAATTCATATCAACAATACAATACAACACAACCATTATTTTTCTTAATACAATATAGAGGCTGTGATTGTACCGTCTGCGCCCCTTCCCCTCCTACATCCGCCCCAGGACAACTGGTAAATAAATGAAATGTCATAGAGTTTTAAAATATACAAATGCATTGTGTTACTGGGTTATTATAATTCTATAGTTGACTAATAGGCCTTAGTAAATATAGGCCTAACATTGCCTATATTGTATTTTTAAAATAATTACATTTTTACCTGTGTGCCAAAATGCCAAAGGCGTTCTCTACAACCCGGCGAGCACGGGACAATCTATAATTAAATATCCGCTGTTGCCTAGTCATCTGTCGATGTGGGTACGGCTTCATCAGCCAGGAACGCATTTGGAATGCGTCATCGGCTACTATGCTGTACGGCACAGGCTGATCATCGTTTGGTAGCGGTGCTGGCTCTGGTAGCCCCAATTTGCCCTTCTCCAATGCATCACGCAAAGTACAGTCTTGGAAAACTCCGCCATCTGAACACCAGCCATTGGCGCCAATGTCAACATAAAGAAACCTGCGTCTGCGTCAACTAATGCCATTAATATAATTGTAATACATGGAACCGCCATTTCGAGGACATTTGATGGCGATATGTTTACCATCTGGTGCTCCTATTTCCGGCACCAGTTTAGATATCGAGTTATTTGCCACCCGGAATCCGTATTCCAGACTCTTGTAAGAGTCCCCAGTGGCAAGGTATCGCAGGGTGATGGCCAGTCGCAATCCCGGATCAAGTGCCCTTCTCATTCTGGTATCCTGCTTTCGGATCCTTGGACTAACACGAACCAACATTTCCTGAAAAAGTTCAGGATCAATTCGCTGAAAGTTCCTAAATCCAGTGTGGTCCTCCATTGCCATTTCTGACATTAAAGCTTCGTATTGTCCATGCAAAGACCTGCGCATTAACCAGGGTCTAGTCCAAAAACGCCTTTTTCTTTTCTTCATCCTTCCCCTACGTTGGCTCCTAGCAACTAAAACAGCCGCAATGGCAGCATTTATAAGTAGCTCTTCTTCTAGGAGCACCAAAATATTTCTGTTGGCTTCCATGTTGTATGCGAATTTGCAAAACAGAACGTCAATTCTAATAGCTTGGAATGCCCTTACCTAATATCTAATTCGGTACAACTCCTAACGCTCATAATAATCTCGTAAGCTCCTAGTAAACTCGGTGTTTCGCTCGGCAATAATTCTTACATAACTCGTACCCAACTCCGTAAGGTCGTACATCATTCGTAGCTAACACGTAGTAAGCCCGTATGGAGATCACGAGTTTCACGAGTTTTTAACTCGTGCGACTCCTGGATGAAATCAACCTAGGTGGGAGAGGGGCTTTTCTTTATCAGACTGTGCTTCGCAACTGAAAATGATAAGAAAATTATTGACGTAGAGTTAAATTAGGCATTTTAGCTACAGGCCACCAGGCATATCACGTCTCCTGTATTATTAGTATCAAAGAAAAATACCACAGACAAACGGGTTGTTACAGATTTCCGCTACCTGAACTCGAGAATTCAGCGCATTAACCATCCATTTCCACTACTTGCAGAAGCATTAAAAACTATAGGAAACGCAAACGCACATGTCTTAAGCATAATTGATTTAAAATCAATCAGCCTTTCATTGTGTACCATTGACCAAGAAAACCCAACAATATACATGGATAGAATCCTAACACGGAGGAAAACATTACTACTACAAACGATTAGCACAAGGATTAAATGTTTCACCAGGCATATTTCAAGCCAAAATCGATGAAATCTTAAATGATATTCCAAATTCAAGACATTTTTGCATTGCACATCATGTACTAGACTTCCTTCTTATACCTTGAAGGCAACACCACGTCAAACAGCCTTCCTTGTAAATATTGTACATACAGTTTGTAGTGTTGTAGTATAGAGAATAAAGTAGAGTTTTAAACAGAAACAGTTTTTCTCCGAGTAAACTTTACAAGTACAAGTACCTCCACAACAAAGTTTGATAGTGAGCGAGAGAGAGAAGAAAGACACAAACTCCACTACATAGTGGACAACTATAATATTGCATGGAGGAAGATATTAATATTACAATACAACCAGAAGAGAAACTTAACTTTAAGGTATCCAAAACCCAGCAATGAGTTTTCACGGTGTTAAGGAAAATTAAACAGATACACCTGTACAGAAGACTGTTGTTTTATTATGAATGCCTGGAGTTACAGCATCGTCTATGACACTTAAATATATTGCAAATTTAGTTCAAATGGAAGCTCAAATGCCAACAACCTTACTATCTATAAGGCAAATTAATTAAAGGCGATTTTATTGTTGCAGTTTTTCCTGTTGAATTTGGGGAAAAAAAGACCGTTCATCTTACACAACGTGGTCTTTCCATATTTCTGGATAATGGGCGCCCCAGCACATTGCGGCTAGAATAAAAATGATACATATAAAGGCAATGACGGAAAACGCCAAGTGAAATTTCTCTGTGAATATCTTTGATGATAATGAACCTGGCTGTCACAAAATCAAAATTACGAAATTTTTTGGCCGTCTGTTTGTGAAATATTCAATGGTCTTTGTTTTATAGACACCCTATATGGGTGTCTACAAAACGAAGACCGGAGACCTGAAAAACGAAGACCTTCAATTATTTCGCAATTATCATATTGTAAGTATTTCAAAATCATCATAAAACAGTTGCCAAGTACGTATTTCATTATTTCATCGGGAAAAAAATTAAGAATATCAAGAAATAATTAAAGGTCTTCGTTTTATAGACACCCTATATGGGTGTCTATAAAACAAAGCCCGCCAAGACCGAAGACCCAAAAACGAAGACCCCTATTTTTTCTCTTTTGTTTTGATAATAATACACCTGGCTGTCACAAAATCACAATTACGAGGTTATTTGAACTTTAGTTTGTGAAATTATCAAAGGTCTTCGTTTTATACACCCATATGGGTGTCTACAAAACGAAGACCTAAAACCGAAGACCCACATTTTTTTCTCTCAATCGTGATGAAAATAATGTATTTAAATTACTTCATGCTATGTATATATAGTATTCGTCTTTTTAGCACATTATTTCCTGAATCGGAGTCAATTTAATTATTTACTTTTTATTCCAGTTCCAAAGCGGCAGCCATTGTTCCATGGCTGGCAGCAGGGCGCTTCTTGGCGCTGCTGCCCTCAAACAAAAGTGGCTTGGCCTAACGGTACGCGTATTTTGTGGGGCCTACAAAGGCCTTGAATATTTCATTCACAAACTAATTTCTAGTTAAAATAAGCAGTAGGAATGTTGCATAGTAATGCATATGTGCAGCATCGGTCATTTGGTAGTGAAATCAACATGGGATGGATGAGATAAGGGTCTTCGTTTTATAGACACCCATGGGTGTCTACAAAACAAAGAACGAAAAACGAAAACCCACATTTTTTTTTCTCTCAGTGAAATGAACATAATATTTTATAAAATATTTTTTTATAAAATGACCTTGCATCAAATACATGAATCCAACGACGAAAAATGAATGAAACTAAAATAGCATGTAGGTAAACTCTAACATCGTACAGCAACTGACATAAAAATGGGACCAAAGATAAAGTTTAAAAACTTCTTTAAAAATTGGTAAATTTCTTTATTGATTTTGCACATTTTGGTAGGTATCAGCTGAAATGTTTTGTACATTTAACAATTTAAAAGCATGTCATGTTTTTTTATGTACGGTATTGCCAAAAAACAAAATGAATAAATATATATTAATGTTCAACACCCTGCACAGAAATCAGTGTAAAAATCAAAATGAAGCAATGTTTTATAATTTTTTTTATTGTAAAATTAGGAATTTAAAGGAACTAGGAATAAAATATAGCAGTAGGGTGAAGGAAAGATTTACTCATAAATAATGTGAAATAGGTATGACGGAACCAAGTTTTCAAATTGTGAAAGAATTGCATTGCCCGTTTAGCCCCGCTTTGAATCCGCGGCTTATTGGTCATTATTAAACAAGAGAGAAAAAAAAAAACAAAAAAAAAACACAGGTTATTTCTAACAAATATGGTTGATATAATATAGTGTCCGTTTTGGCTTTCTTAATTTATTTTAAATCTATTTTATTCCATAGTTATAGTCTGCTGTTAACGTTCACGCAGTTTTTATCCTAGGTACGACGTGCTTTTTGGTGCGTTCATTCTTGACAAAATCATGAAGCTGATAAAGATTCTATTCAAAGAAACAAAAATGTGCAGTTTTAAATGATTGAGTCGAGTCAGAATGGAGGAAAAAATAACCAGAGGAAACAATATATGAATAAGAGGATAATTTATGACCAAACTTGAGAGCAGATAACATTTAACGTCTTCCGTGTTCATCATAATTATGCAAACAAAGGTAATAAAACTACATGAATTTGCTGAGAAAGCAGGGTTTAAAATAAATATAAGGAATTAAAAGGATTAATAATAACACCAAAAATTATTATATATTGAGATTGACGGAGGGTCGCAAGCTTAATGAGGTTGACAAATTCATGATACCTAGAAGCTATTATCAGTAAACACGGGGGGTGTTACAACCGCTAATGTAGAAAACAACAGCTATGTAGTAACAACTGTTAATGTAGCACACTCCACAGCTTATGTAGTAAAACTCCCCGCTAATGTAGAAACACCAACAGTTTATGTACTAAAAAGAAAATCAACTCTAGCTTATGTAGAACGCTCAACAGCTAATGTAGAAACGAAAATTACATCACAGCTAATATAATCACTATCGCTAGCTAATGTAGAATATTACAATTATTACAATACCATTCGCTAAAAAAGCAGGGGTGGGCCAGCGAATGGGCGGGGCCAGGGCCCCAAGTCGGGGAGAGCTCCCCTTCCCCCGCCACCGTCCGGGAGAAAATTCGCAATTCGTCGGGGAGAAAAATTATTACATTTATTTTTACATAAAATCAGATTCTTCACTACTTGTTGAATCTGTACTAATTATACGGCCCTGTGAGACATGGGAAATTATTGAGAGAGATAATAAGAAACTGGAAATGTAATTTAAATGCTTAAGACGATTTAAAAAAAAAAATCAGTTGTCCATATGTGTCTAATGCAGAATAATTCACAAAACCAAGGTAAATATAATCAGGGATGATGTGAAAGTAAGAAGGAGGAAGTGGATCGGACATGTTCTAAAAATGAATTCTGAATACTACTGTATGACTGCACTGCCATGACCACCAGAAAGGAAAGAAAACCATTCTTGACTTACAATGTGTTGTATATTGGTTCTGGGTACAGAGGTGTGCATAAAAATATAATAAAATGAATTATTAAGAATCACAATAATTAATTTGTAGTCCTACTGTTTATGGAAGAAGGTACTGCTCTAACAGATCTGAAATAATTTTGTCTCGGTTGTATAATTAAATACATCCCTCTGCATATTCTCCTTTAATTAAATTTATTTTGTTAAACCAAGCATTTTTTAACACGTTATTACTGTGTATCGTGACGCTAAAAATGTGTTACTCATTTGAGGGCTAGCAAAAAAAAAACACGCTTCAAATTTACGTTACGCAATAAAACACTTAAAATTCACTGTGTGTTTCCAAGTTAGCCAAAATGGCCTACCTTCAGGCTGGTATAAGAGGAGGAAAGGTACTAATTTTTGTTGATGTCACCTCATCATATAATTTTTTGGCAGCATCGTGACAGTATTGAATAAATGTATTTTGAGATGTTGACATTATAATTGAGAATATATTATCATTTTTGTCAAACATGAGTACCAATCCTACAGGTTACGGGCCCAGTTGCACACTTTCAACTTTCACATCAGTGAAAATAAGAAATTAAATGATGGCTTGATTGTAGACACAGGTGCCACATCACATGTAGTCAACAAAGACACCTTCATAAGAATTGATCCGAATTTTAAGCAGATAAACCACTGCATTGAGCTTGCGGATGGCACCAAAATGTATGGAAGTGCTGTGAAACGAGGAGATGCAAAGATTCACTTGATCGCCAATGCGTAGAAGCCATATTAACAAATGCCCTATATTGCC